TGTACATGTAGCGTCTACTGAAGTGCAAAAAGCATGATTTTACATTTTACATCATTTGCCAACAAATAATTGTTTATGGCCTTGGAAATAGATGAAAAAAATGATGTACTATTTCCCAATAAATATCAAGAAGATATTGATATAATAGGTTCAGGAATGCCACATTATACAGGGCTTGACATTAGCAGGGTTCCAGTGCACGTATTAGGTTCATGGTTAAACAAACCATATGAACTTGATGGTATCTTCAATAGAAATCATTTTAATTTTGTGGCTCCATGCTGGCCTTATTTCTTCACCCTTTGCCTTGTACGTACAAGTTTAACAATGACCACGTCCTTGGACAAATACCAGTTACGTGATAACAAGGACAATGCAAACACAACTGCCATTGGCTACGGTGAGTACACAAAGCATTCTTCACAAAGAGACAGAGATTTGAAAAAGCATACAGGACATTGACATGCTTTGAAATGCTCATTGCAAAAGAAGAAGAAAAATAGTGGCAGTGTATAATATATATTGCTTTGCAGTCAGGAAATGCCTTTCAGAATATTTAAAGATAAAAGACCAATTATGGTCATGTGATTGCATTGTGAAAGAAACGTTGTGGAATCGATCAGAAAAGGTCGATTATCTAGCATATACATGTAAGTATTGGTGTGTACTGCAAGGTTCTGGAATCATCAAAATGATAAGAAATTTGGCCCAGTCTTCTCAAAGTTACAAGCACTGTACACAGAAAGATGTATATGGGACTACGCACACCTGCGTGACACATGCGTTTATCTCTCACATACCAATAGATAAACTAATTTACCAAATATATCAATAAGTAGGCAGTTTCCCGGCAATTTTTTTTTAGTCAAAACATATTCTTTCACATGATTGGTAATAAGAGCTTCCATTTAATTTTTTGAAATTGGGGCGTTCCAATACTGGTCTTTACCTTTAAAGTTCAATTTTTCAGTTGGATTAGCTCAGGAAGATTGCCATTCTTCCTCAACGACTCGTTGCCAATTTGCCAAGTGCTGGAATATGATACATAACTATTTCCTTGTGCAAAGGGCAAACTTTAAAGCTTCACAGATGACCTACAAAATAATAGGAATTCATATGAATGTATAGTTTAGCAATGGTTGGGGATTTAACTACAACAAACATTGTATACATATCATGTATCAATGAGATGCATTGTCAACATGACTGGTCATGTCAAATTCACTGATAGTGCAATTGTACAAACAATCAAACATTAATGTTCAAACAGATCCACAAGTCACTTTACTCGCTTAGAGATCACTTTGACAAATTTAAGTGGATGCCCTTTGATACTGATGTCATTGTCCAGCGATGTTCTGCATTTCTGATACAGTGTATTCTACTTCGTAATCTGACTTCAGTTAAGTCCCTTTAAATCCTTTAATGATAACAAGCTTTGTTGACTATAGATAATGTTATCAAAGGTTTTATAACCCTAATGAGAATATGAGTATTATGATGACATCATGACCAAGAGAGTATGACCCCATTAGCAACCTAATTCTCTTAAAATGACCTCACCCACTGAGATTTCACATTAAGTCTCACAGAAAATAGATTTGTTTCATTTTGATCTTGTTGATCTTGATGGAAATTGAAATACATTTCAGTCAGGGAAAATTGGAGGACTTTCAACAGAGAAATTAAAAGCTCTGCTAATAACAAATATTCTGAAAAGTTACCATTAACTTGACCAAAACTCAATCTTGTCCTTATTTTAGTTTAATTTTAGTGTTTTTTTATAATCATATCTAACCTTCTGTTACAGATACACACACATATTTAAAACAAAAAGAAAATTGACATATTGCAAGATGATATGAATTGACACAATCATGATTCAACAAGAACAAATAGTCAAATACACTTATTTTAGTCAGCTGCTTATATACTGTGCATATTACTTTCAGGGATGATGGAAAATCTATAGAGGATATTTCATGAATATTGACCCCTACAGTTAGTAAACTGCAATGGTGTCAAAATGAATTGGTCCATCTTCACTAGGATATTTTGGTCATTCTTTGACAAATCTGCTATTATCAAAAAGGGTAAGAAAGTGACACATCATTTTTGCTTAACAGTATACCCTTAATAGTAAGATTGCAAGAATATATGCACCAGATGAGGTGGAATTCCATTGGTGCTTTGACACAGGAGAAAGACAATCCAGCATTGACAAAATACACAGACTCGAGCTGTACAGGAAAAAATGACAAAGCTACTTGTACCTTCTTACATTGAAAATAGTTTGCCGGCACAAACTCTGGTCAGTTGCTGTGCGTAACAGTGTCTGCAAAGTGAGACTACACTGAGAGCATACTGCATGGGTTCTGTACTCTATATGTAGCTGCTTCGTCAGACTATCAGGGGTAGTAGGCTCTGCTCAAGGAATTGTGGTGAAGTGTCAAATTAGAGTCTGTGCCTGCAGACTGCAATGAAAAATCAAACTACAATGTATGGCACACAACCCACTAGATAGCACATAACCCACTAGAATATACAGCATGTAAATAACAATATTGAAGGATGAGGTATACAAAAAAATACTTGTTTATGTTAAAAATACTATTATTTTCCTTTCACCAAGTTTACTGTTCACAGCATCCATTTAAATGTTAATACACACCCAATTAAGTTACTATACACAATTACACATGGTCTCTGAGACGATCATTCTCTTTGCTGATCATCTTTTCGTAGCCATGTCTCATGTATCAATTTATCTGTTTAATGTACTTACAGTACGTGTACCATACAGACTCCTTATCTGCTCATCTTCTCTTCAGAAAATATAGTGACTCAATTTTCTATGTACTTTGCCCACATGTACTGATGTAGATTTTCGGCCTAGATGTAGACCTTCACACAATTTCCAGTATGGATGTAAAGAGACAGACAAATGTATGAGTTTATATATATATTTCTATCTATTAAATGGACTAGGTCTGCCAAGACAGTCATCATTCTTTATGAGATTTCTTTGAAATTCTCTTGTGAATATATGCATTGTAGAAGAAATGTGCAAAGAGCATGAAATAACTGAGGTACATAAGGGATGCATATTTTATATTATCATGGGTTGTAGAGCAAGCTTCCCCCTTCTTGAGTAGCTTATAAGCGTAGATGTTGACGTAGCAACCGACGACCATTTGCAGAATCTGGATGGTCGTGATGGAGATGTTAACCCAGCTTGGAATACGCACGAGCTTGGCAGCACGCACAGTGTAGTAGGTGTACATGATGGCGTGGACGCAAGCGTTGATGAGGATGAAGTAACGTCCAGGAGCTATGTAGTGGGCATAGCTGTACCAGGAGTAAAGCAGGACGGTGATGTGGTGATACCAGTGAAGGAAGATGAGGCGTTGCTTGCGGAGCACGATGAAAACGGTGTCTCCCAGCTCGGGAAGTTTGCTCAGGACGAACAACCAGCACCAGAACCCGCTGACACCTTTGTAGAAGACCGGATCACACATAGATGCCTTCCAGCCGTATGTCCTGACGAAGGAGAAACAGTCGGTAACGAGACGGATTGCGCAGATCCAACTGAAGATGGACAACATGAAGGACCAAGCGGTCAAGGCATACTGGAGGTTGTAGCGGGGTCGATTCTGCATCCATGCCTGAAGGCCGAAGATCACAACAATGTAAACTGCACAGGACGTGAAAGACAAGGTCCAGTTATTTTCAAACCAGGTTATTTGATCCTTGTAGTTGAAAGATTTCTCAAACGCGAAAATGGTGGAATGGTTCGTATTCAGTCGAGGAGATGCATCCACTGGTTCCATCCCTAAAGATGACATGATGCTAGATGATTCGTTGATCACTTACAGTAGTCACAATCACTCCAAAATATAACAGCTCACAGATGCACAGTGTGGTGAATTGAATAGATCTAGATGCACTCACGCACTAAAGGGACCCTCTGAATAACTGAGCTGTGTCTGTAGCAGCCGACTAACCGTATTCATTGGCTCACGACTGAAGTTCTGCTTCGGGGTAAATCGCAACAAAATTATGTGACTGTGAATGTTATATCTTGAAATATCACCAGGTCGAGCCGAAAAACTGCTGTCCAAACTGAATTCTCTTCATCAGGAGGTGCCTTGAGCTGAAAAACGGGTGATTTTCTTGACTTAATGACACCTTGGACACTCCTTCAACGTAACACGGCGCTCTACCGATAGCAACAGAAGATCAAAGCCAAACCCTCTTTCAATCTCCCTATTCCTCGATCCACACTGTAGAGTAGCTTATGAATATTCCCGGCTGTTCTCACCAAGATAAACAATATATAAAGGCGCTGGTAGATCTTTCATCATTACTCCCTTTGTGATTTTCTCAAACAATAGATTTATTATTCAATTTTTCTTTCATTCATTTACAATTTCGATTTATATTGATATTTCTGAACGAATATTAATAATTATCACATACTCAATTCCGTAGTTTATCAATATATTAATTTAAATTTGTGTCATTATAGGAAAACTATCGCAATAGAAAATGCACTGTCTAGTAAATGTATGGAGTCCAACGGGCGAAATATGCCTTCTGATTGGTTAAAAGGATCAGGTGGTGCGATACTGAAGAGGGCGGAGCTGACCTGGAGGAGTCGAACACGTGAACATGAGGTTTTCGTTTCCAACGGCGATGTAGAACATTATAATATTGTAAAATATCCCTCATTACTAAAAATAAGGTGAATACTGGCGTATATTTAATTATGATTTTGTTCTTAAGGACCCCTTTTTTGATCAATGACTATATATTTTTATCGCTTATACACAAAAACATTCCAACAAAAACAAAGAGAATATATATTCTTTATACTCCCGAGTATATTTTGCCAGTATCCCACGTGTATTTGAAAAGTTTGTTGACCTATTAATGGTATTTCGCATGACTTCCTCGCAATGACGCTATGTGTAGCCAGCAGCATGCTGCATGCTACAGCTAGCTAGCTAGCTAAGCAGCGTAAGCGAAATAAAGTTTGTTGACATGAATGTTGATGGCTGAGCTTTAATCTGAAACTTGTTGGGTTATTACCTAGTATAAGAAAAAATGTTTAATTCACCGCTTGGAATCATCTTTCTCGTTGGTTTATGGTATGGTGGAGAAGGTGAGTCATAAATGTATATGTGGAAAATGGTTATGCATATTGTAGAATATCAATGTAATGCAGTTTTTATGACCCAAAATGTCCGAAGTTGTCCCACACGTTGATAATTGTGATGTGTTTGTGTTGTCGCGCAGTCATGATCATGACACTCCAGGGAGCTCCGACGCCGACGCCGCGCCGAAGGTGTCGGAGCTCCAGAGCCCGTATAGGAAAACGATTCAAACAGCGGGTTTGGTCACATTTTTCCTGAAATGTAAAGAAGTAGTTATTACAATTTTGACTTACATGTACAATGTTTTTCGACTTCTCTGTCCTGGGCATCTGTTCAACCATTCGAAATTATAATTTGAAGAAGTCTTCGTTTCGATGGAAAAAACTTAAAAGGGCGATTCCTCATCCTAATCCAACTCATCCCATGTTGTTAATCGTCGATTCATCATGGCGAAGAGAAAGTACACATGCGCGGCACATACTGCTACAGGTTTTACGTATGCATGCACATGGCTACATGATAGGCTAAGGTATATGGATTGATTTTTTTTTACAACCGAATTTGTGTACATCAAGTTTACACAGACAATCATCGCTCATGTTGACCAAGAAATACACACAATGAATATGAATGATTTTTTAGAATTTATTTGTTGTTTTCATTTCAGGCAATGCAATTGAAGAACCAGCACAAAAGCTCTTGCACAGAGGAGAGTCGGGAGACCAAGGCTCATGTCCAAACCACTTTGCAGAATTTTTCTACCAAATCTCACAAAGGAATCGAGGGACTATATACCTAGCAGACACTACTGACATCGAACAACAGGCGTGGCTATCTACATCATTCCAATTATTTGAATTGAGTGAATTATTGAAAGGGCTAAATGGAACTGCGGGAAACAAGTCACAACCAGACCAGAAACCATCACCAAAGTTCAAGTGCGGAGAAAATGGTGGTATTGAGAATGGCAGTGGGGAGGTCATCATGGTCAACAGCTCTGAACTTGTGCGTCTCGTTTCACAGCGGCCTAACGCGAGCGCAATCGCAAACTCATCTGCGGAGGCGAGTACAAACACGTCGGACAACTCTAGCCAATCTTCAGAGAATGTCTGTGTGGTAGTGATGTTTTTTGCCACTTCTTGCCGATTTTCAGCAGCCACAGCGCCTCATTACAATGCATTTGGGAGAGCAATGAGCGCTGTAGATGTCTTGGCATTTGATATCAATCAATCTAATGGGTAAGTTGAGATGTGAGGGAAATGTTTCTGCTAACTTGCCAAATACGTGAAATATCAAGATGAATGAAGGAACCATGGGGATGTTGGAAATTAGGATTACTTGACTCATTGTCCATGGGAACAGGATGATCCCTGTAATAAGCCTATAAGGATTAGAGAATTCAGTAGTCATAGGATTAATATCCTGTAAATTGATCAGAGCACAACAATGACATTTAGATTTAGATTGAGGCATTGAGCTGGTTGAGAGCACTGGTAACATTATGGCTGTGACACTGAATGGACACTGAATGCAGAATTGAAAAAGCGAGTCAATGCTACAGATATAAAGAATTTTATCACCAATTATTTATGACAAGTTTTCAGGTGTGTTACAAATGTTTGTAAACATTTTCCATGTTTTCAAGTGAAAGGTGAGATGAGTAACATCAATTCGATAAGATGTCTTGTTCCTTATTCCTGATGTGATCTTTTCTTCATCATACCTGCAGAGTGAATTCCAGGTATGGCATCGTAGCTGTACCAAGCATCGTCCTCTTTCACAATGGCAAGCTAGCAGCAAGGTTTAACGAGAGCCAAAGGTCTTTGGAGAGCATGATGGACTTTGTCCACAACTTGACTGGTAAGCTTTAAAGTCGCACTGCACTACGTATAGGTACTTGCACCCTCTATATAGCAAACAATGCCTAATCGCTGACCGTTGGTCCCCCATGGTCCCCTTTTTTTCATGTTATTTGAGAGCTGATTTTATGAGATAACCACCTGTCAGTGACCATGCAAGGAGGTCTAATCCCTCCTGGCCAAACTAGTGCAGATACAATGTAGGCTTTAAAATCAAATTGTAATTTATCGTATTAGTCATGGAGAAGATAGGAAATTCATGGCAGGTTTTGGTAGTTATTTTCTTCACTATATTGATAATAACAATGATATTAGCTACATGTATGGTTAAACACTGTATTGTTCATGCCCCTTTTATAAAATTTGATGCTTTGAGTGTTCTTCGCAACTCAAGAATGAAAGGTGGACTGGTTGAATACTTTAAGAAATGTAAGCTTTGATATGCCACATTCTCAAGAAAAATCAATCGGGGCAAATTACCTATTTATATGCATGTAATTAAAAGCCCACCCATCATAGGGTTAAATTGTGTTTTTGAATTTTCTTTTTTGTACTATCCTCGTTATTAATCCTTGATTATTTAGTAACCAAAGGTAATAATAGGAGATGGAAATGATCATCTTGTTTGTCTTTAGATTAGTTGCTACCGAGAGCTACCACTAACTTGAATGCTTTAAATTCAATACATTTTTAAGTAAAAAGAAAAACCACAGGCAAATAAAAACACTGTGACTCATAGTTAATAAGAAATACCTTTAAATGCTGTGCATACCATGCTTTAATATGAAATGCTCACAAACAAAATATATTTAGAAATCTTGTTTGTTTCCAGATTATTTGTTATTCTATTGCCTATCACTACTTCCATTTACCGGAAAACTTTATACCATATGAAGCATTCTAAGAGAATTTCTTTTACTGACAAGACTAAACAATTAGAATTATCACTAATTTCAATATACTTGTGTTGATAGTTTGTTAATCCTTTTTTTTTAATGTATCTTCAAAATACTTTCAATAAAACGTATCATATCAGTACTATTGATAACACTTAATCAATCTATAATCAACGTATTACAATCTATTAGAATTCTTAAGAAAGCATGTTACATGTTTTCTTAAGAATTATAATAGATACAAGGTTGTAATACAAGGTTGATTATAGATTGAAGAAGTCTAATAATATCTTTACAACAAAGATCTGTGATAACAATAACAGGTTAACATACAGAGTTATAGAGTTTGGTCAGGGAGGGAGGGCAAGTTTGGTGGAAGACTTGATGTGGCCTATGGACCACACTTTAAGAATTTTGGTCTAGATTGAATAAGAATATAAAAGGGGGTCATCATTTTGCAGAATTGTCCCTATTATGCAAATTGTCTGATTATCTAAGTCCCAATAATGTAGTCTATCTCTATCCTATCCTGTATTTGAAATCTGATGCTACTATTATCTCAGTTAATCTTATCCATCAGCAACGTTGTGAGTCATACAGCAGAAATTAATATGTTTGGATAAAAGATGAAGGTATTAAGATTTGTCCAATGTAAAGGTTTAAATGTTTACACACTGGAAGTAAGATGTTTGCATCAATTACAGATTGTTTATACTGTGGCAAATTATTTCCAAATTTGTATGTTTTTTGTGGGGTTGGTTTCCAACGCAAATAGAGATACAGCTACTTTTGTAGATCCCTTGATAAGTAACAGATATTTTTTTTCTACAGGAGCATTTGCATTTATTTGCCTTTTTCGAATGGATACTGGGAGGCCTGGGCTGCGTCTCACGAAACCGTCATAAGTACAAGTTGAGCGACATCTCATTGAAACGTGTGTATTAAGTTTAACCCCTTGTTTTAATGGCATATCGGTGAACTTGTACTTATGACGGTTTCATGAAACGCTGCCCTGATTGCCAACTTGGCAATAAATTTTGTTTGTGTACTTTGGATTCAAGATGTAATATTAAAGGATCAAACAATTGTTCCGAGAAAATCAGATGGAAAATTAAATTGTTTAAACTACATCAGCAAGTTTTTATTATACTACAGTCGAAAGATATCTCTTAGTTTATGACCAAAGTGATCTACATGTTCATGTGTTTAGTTGTCAAGCAAATAAGTAAAAACACTCTTGTCGTAAATTCAAACATGTCTGAGGAAGGTATCGGAACCATGGGTATTGTAACTGTCACAGTTAGATAATTTGTGGATGTGTCATATAACTCATTTCTAATGAATTTGTCAAATTTAAAGTTGATATTGTCCATTTTATGCTTGGGGCTATACATCTATGTAGCAAAATGAAGTAGTTATGAGTTGTCAAAGTCCTTTAAAGGTACTACATGTATGTCCCTTTTGCAGCCAACCTCAAATTCTGTAGAACTTTGAAGGAATTATGAATATGTCATGTATGTCCTATCTGTGAAATTTAAACGTTAGCAGTGTCCTAATATTCAAATTATGCAAGGAAACCCGTTTACTTGCTAGACTTCACTGTCAGACACTAATGAGTGACTGACTGGCTTTTCTTCTTTGGTAATAACATACATAAAATGAGATGTAAAGGGTACATGAGCATTTGTCTACATCAATAACCTACTTCTTGTGATGGCCAAATTTGAACTGATTGAATCTTTGCGCAGCATAAAACGTATGACCATTCGGTTCAATGGTCTGAAAATCAAGACTATTACTTTTGGGCTCTATAGCCCTAAAGTTGATTTGACAACTAATAGTCGTTATTTTCCCACTTGAAGATATTTTCAAGCCCCACCTTTTTTTAGGGAAGTTCTAAATTAGTATTATCTTTCAAATGCAGTTGGAATTTAACTTTTTCAGTTTTTGAGCCTGCAAATGGGACATAGTACCTTTAAGTTGCCTTTTACATAATTATTTTAACTCATTTTTTCTAATCCAGGGCTACCGGTAAACAAGTCTGTTACAGTTTTAGAAGGAGACCATGAAGGACCTGTTCCAACCACAGCAGTGATAGGTCCAGACTACTTCCTCTGGTTCTCTAACACGTTCCTGTTCCTGTGTGCACTACGCCTGTTACAGCAGAAGGTTGGAGCAGCAGTCAGGGCTAAGATCACAGCAATCCAGGAATACGTTGTCCAGGTCTGGAGGACGGGTGAGTTCTATGAGCAGGTGGGAATCGCTGACAATGACGAAGTGCCAATGAACAATGATGCTGCTGAGATCAGATGATGAATGCCTTCCATGCCCTGCTGACAGTTCAACCTGAAATCCTTGGCCATTTGAGTTCTACGAGCAGAAGGGCATGGCTGACAATGAGGAAGTGCCAATGAACAATGATACTACTGATATTAGATGATGAATTCCTTTCATGTTCTGCAGACAGACAGACCTGGAATTCGCTGCCATGTCTTATGTAGTGTGGACATGACAAACTGTGGTTTTCGCGCTGTTCTTGCCAAGATAATCCATGGCAAATGTTTTGATTGCAGATAACACTTCAACCTTGCATCCTTGGTCATGTTAGTGATGCTTTAGATGAAGCAAAGTGTAATTCATGAGCTGTTAATGAAGAGATGATCTGTTGCAAATTTCTGAGCATATGTTAAATGCAAGGTGCTGCAATCCCACTTCCTTTCAGAATTACATATGCACAACAAAAATTGGTTGGTCTGGCAAATTAAGATCATACTTGCCCAGCTAGATGAGCATAGTATTTCCATTTCTGTCGACTGGGTACATACCAATGTACTAGGATTCAAAATTTGTGTTTGAGCAAGTGTTACAGTCTGTGTTGTCCATTTGTGCAAGCCAGTACAATGGACGTCTACAGGGATAACATTCATGGGATCTGAGATAATTGTCAGTTTTTAGCATAATTTTCGGAGAGTTCACTGAGAATCCTACATTTTTCAAAATGGGGTTCTAAAATGGTGAAATATGAGAATTATATTCAGAAAATAAAGAAAAGAAAGATCAAATGCTGTTAAAGTGTTGTGAGGTGTCCTCAAATCTTACCAGAAGACCAGTGTCCCAACAGTCTGGTTTCTTGGAGTACATACAGTACTCTGACTATCATTTGATTTTGTGCCGATGTAAGATATGTGTGTAGTGGTGGTTATTTTACCTGACAGCTAAGAAAGCATAAATAATGCTTGTTACATGTAGTAAGCAACCAGAAAACCGACAGCTTTAGGTCCTCTCCGAGAGACCCGGTAATGAGGATTAATGTCTTACCAAAGGGCATCACCTTGGTTTCGAACCCTGGTTGCCGTATTACGAGACCACTGCTCTACCGTCTGAGCTATTGGGAATATGCATTTTGATGTTTAAAAAATGTGAGGAGTGTGAAGGGTTTTAGTATTGTGATTTGGAACTGATGAAGTATCTTATTAAAAGAGAAAAATTAGTCAGGGTAACATTTTTGGATTAATGACTAAGGCTCTGAAGATCTGATTCAAAATCTTTTACACCTTACTTTACTTTATTTCGCACAACTATTTTTGGACATCAATATTTGCTGTTTTATGTAAAGAAATATACCAAAAATCATTTATTTAAACAATTGAACATATTTTACATATGAAAATGTACCAAATTCATAACTTGCCTCTAGAATCTAGATTAAGCATGTCTATATATATATGTTCTAATTGTTAGCTATTGTAAGAAGTTCTGAAAATATTATAACAGTATTGATTTTACCTTATTCATCCCTGGCCGAAAAATAATATGGTGACTGTCCTAAGTTTACTTTTTTCCTTCAATTTACAGATATACATGTATATTAATGAGATAAAGTGCAATGTTATTTTGAAATGTTTTCATTTTACAAATAATTTCAAACAGTAGCTTAGCATCAAGTTGTGCAATTTATTATTATAATTTTTTTTGTGACTTAATGTTGAGATATACTTTAAATATTTTGAATTTGAAATGCAATGATGAAGTTGAAACTGGCCTTGGAAAGAATAGACAGGAGGTATGGAAAGGGATTTTTTTTTGTTTAATCATGACGTTTAGTAGAGATTCTTCTCTAGCTCTCGGACAATTTTTAGTTTCCTTTTTTACCCCCCCCCCCCCAAAAAAAAAAAGACATTTAAAATGTCCAAGGCATGAATTCTTTTAAAGGTTTATTGTTTCAAAAAATGACAAATGTCTTTTCAGCAATTCTTTTGATAACATGTTTTTCATAAAGTTTGCTTTACACTGTTTTTCCCTAAAAAACAAAAGTTGTGGTATACCTTTAGTTTTCACTATGTTGTTTTACTTTTTCCTGATCAAATGGCTTCAGATTATTTGAGGTAAAAACAAAATGAATTACCTGTATCCAATAAAGGGAAACACATCTAAAGGATCACTTTTTTTACTACAAAACTGTCCGATGCATTTTTGCTTGCTTGTTTTTCTGTTGATTTCTTGCAAATGGTAGTCCAGTATTTGTCAATGAAATTAGTAGTGTGCATATTTTTACTCCATTAAACTTACAGACTGATTTAAAATTCATTTTAAACGTTATTTATATATTTTCGGTAATTTGTGTGTCCTTAGTAGAACACTCACAAAAAAATCAAAGAAACAGTGAGAGCGAAAGGGGAAGAGAAAATCGAGATAAAGATGGGAAAGAGAGAGAGAGATGAAGAAAAAAGTAGTGATAATGAGGAGAGACAAATGAAGTGAGAGATGGAGAGAGAAAGAGGTAATGAGAGTGAGAGAGAGCGAGGGAGAGAAAGAAAGAGAGAGAGAGAAAGATGAAGAAAAGTGTAGTGATAAAGAGGAGAGACGAATGTAGTGAAGAGATTTCAAGAGAGATCGAGGGGGGTGAGAGCATGGACCTTGAGAGAGGGAAAGAGAGGAAAACAAAGTCGTAAAGAGATACACATATTTATTGAGAAAGGGTGAGAGGCGGAACAAGAGAAAGTGGGAAAGGCTAAGCCAGCAAGACAGAGAGAAAGAGAAGGAAAATTGCCTCTTAATTAAACATAAACAACGTGGATTCAATTATTTCTGTGTCGTAAACTGAATTCACACATTTTATTGTAATCCCATTTTATAACATTTAATGTTCTGATGTGGAAAATCAAATCAAACATAAATACAAGGTTTATTTAGATTTACATTATACATATACAAAGGTGTATTATTATCATTTTATTAGTATCACTTCTTCTGCCTAAATTGAGTGGTATAACAAAAAACTTTTGAATATTTTAATGTTTGATTTAATTTGTGCAATATTGTATTTAAAGTACACATACTGAATCGAAAATCTTTGGAAAATCAAAGGCAAAGGATATCACCATTCAGGTTGTTATTCAATTTCGTCTGTTAGATCATGTACAGTATGTTTAGCCTAAATAAAACTGCTCATCTACAAATCCAATTCATTACAATTATAGCACTGTGTTTTGTTTTTGCTTTGATTACCACACTAATTGCTACAGGTATTTACTTGATACTACGGTTACATAGAGCTGATAGAAATGAAAATGAATCTAAACAGGATTGCGTTTTTTTTTTTTAATTCAGTTGTCAAATTATACCAAGATGCACAATATATCTTTTTCATATACATGTATATATTTTTGTAGACACAGACACACTATACATATTGTTATAGACACAGTACATAATATCACTGCAAATCAAACTAAATGTGGAATTAGGTCATACGATAGCTAGTCATACATCAAATGTGTTCTGTTTGATAGATAATAGATATGTCAATGTATCATAACATGAGTGACATTTTCTCTGAAGTATATAAACATCAAACATTTCAAACTTTATATATTTTACAGACGAGAGATAAATAAAATATATTTTGAAAATCAAACTATACAGACCTATGTTACACATGATTTATGCTAAAAGTGTTTAATGCTTAAAGTGTGTCAACATAACCTTTGTAGTAACTTCTATGTACATTTCTCTCCAATTATCGTCAATGTGGATGTTCTGAAAGAAGTTATTCATGGGGGGAAAATCAACTAAGATTTGCGATCGGTTCAGCCCTTTTGGATACTAGTCGCTCAGCCACGATTTTTCACAGAGTCCTAGTCCGAATTGAAACCAACCCTAATCCTAACCCTAACCTAAAATAATAATATCATTATTCTAACTTTAAAACAGGGTCGAAATTTTTCTGCTATAAACCCTTTTAATTCCATTTCTATGACTATGTTCTGTTGCAAACCCTAACCCTAACTCTATACATTCCTTTGACAAAATAAAGCAATGGGAAACTGCCACATGAGCCTGATAAGCAAATGTGGGATCACTGCCGGGATCCCTCCATTTGCCGCCCCCCCCCCACCCCCCATCATCTCATTGCGCCCATTTAATATTAAAAAAGAGGGTGTGGTCATCAGGTGTGTACTGGTTGAACCTTGGTGTTGCAGAAGGCCGCGCAGAAAGTATGCTTGAGGAGGAAGAGGAAAAGGAGGATGATCTCGGAGATGGTGACGACGGAGAAACCGATGTACAGACCGAGGAGACCCCCAACACCACCGAGGAAGGATCCGAACTGATCATGAAAGACAGGAAAAGATACAAAATAATTATTTTCAAAAGGGAAAAGTAAGAAAAGGGAATCTTATAACTTTCGTTTTCAATTGTTCCAGATTCGTGACGGTTTGATGCCATTAAAGGCAGGGTATTTTACGGACATCGCTACCACTGCTGTAATGTATTTTAAATTGCGCCATCTTTCGATGAAGGCGTCAATGGAGTTTTTCATTTTGTGTTTCATTTTTGTCTTTGAAAATCTCATCCGTCGCTGGACAATCCCGGGTGAACAATATTTTCTTTAAAATCGATAGATAGGTAGATTTATATATAAATAGATAGACATATAAATGATGAAAAGAGAGTATTCATGCTTTAAATCCAACTAAATTCAACTTTTGCCAAATGCAACTGAAATTCCATATCATGCTTACCGTATATGCCGGTATCTCTTCCACAGACTGGAAATTCAATTCCTCAAAGTAGATACGAATACGCGCCAAATTTTTCCTGTATTTATGTGGAGGGGAAAGAAGGGTGAGAAAAATAAATTCATTCTATCAAAATATAACATAATGTTGCATGCATTATCTTGATGTACATAGAAAACATTTTTATGATAAATAAACAATGTTGAACATTCTCAAACTTTCGAAATTCGAAAATTAATTAGTCTAATTTGTCTTACCGTTGTTTTTTTTGTTGTTTTTTTTACTTTGAACGACGCTTTTTAAACAGCTATGAATGAATATATCACATCTAAAAAAAATTGTTTCTTTCTTGACTATTGTATTGCCTGAGTGACGTTAAAATATTTAATTTTTTCACCTGAAGAGAATATCCCCATTATCTAACATCGATCTTTTTGATAAAGTTTTTTTTTATATTTCTTGGTAGTTTTATACAGTCATATATACTACATTGTTCTTGCTCATTTGCAAAAATGCAAAAATTATATAAACTTTTAAAAAAATGATTTGTGTTTTTATTGGAAAATCAAAAGAAATCATACTATTTACAAATAATTTACAAAAAATTAAAAACGAATTCTCTAAACAGAATGAAGCAATAACAATAAAATAAAGTAATTGGTACAAAATAAAACAAGCAGTCGCCAGCATAAAATGGAACACTCAGTAATTAAGTACTATTTACTTGATTAATAAGTTATATTTACTTAGTTTAATTTAAACCCCTCAAAAAAGCCAACAGAAAATGTACCTTGTAGCTTCTACACTCTGGAGGATGCGAGCTGCGATATCATTCTTGGCTGCTATCCTCGTGTACAGATGTTCCTATGAAAAAATAGAGACCATAAATTCAGTTTCACTGGGCTTGTCCTCATCAGCTCGAGTTTGCCAAATAACCCGCTATTTAAACTTTCCCAATCGCAAATCAACCAGCAAATTTGCGTCTTCGTCAGCCCGCATTTGCAATTAGCGGGATATTTGGCCGAGCAAAGATCCCGAGAAAATTGGTCTTATTTCCAAACTATCCCGCTTGGGAAATAGGGGGCTAATTTGCGCCCGTCTGAGCTAGTTTGTGATGAGCGTATATCGGTCTGGTGAGGACGCAAAAAAAAAATAGCGGGTTATTTGGCAAACTGTGTGTCATGAGTAAATTTGTATTTTCCTCATAGATGACTTACCATTCTTGGTTGTTTTAACAAAGAAAGTGATTGGATGAAAACTGGTTTAGTTTAGTCAGTTTTCGCCGTGAGAATTGTGTAATGTTATACTTTGGACTCAATAATCATTCTCTATGTAGGCCTACTGTGCATTATTTTCATGAAGGGTGAACTTTTAGTAAATGATTGATTCTGGGAGTCCAGCGCAGAGCCAATTTGTGTAGCTACACGGAAAATTTGTCCTCATTCCATCATTTTGTTAATAAAAATATGGTTTCTTATATCAGCAGAGCAAAAATTCGGTGCATCAATATATCTATGGCCTAAATCATGACTGTGTGTCGTCTTTAAGCGCCTTGTTTTCACATTTTATTCAGCGCATGGAAATGATTAATGGGACCAATCTAAACATTTATAAAGATTGATCTAAAAAGTTCTGAGAAGGCATAACACTTACCTATCAAGAATAAATCATATTATCATAATCATTTCATGAATAAAGGGGGGGGGATTATACCAACGTTACGGGCATGAGTGTTGATGATTGTATCGTACCTCGTATCTTTCAGAAGGCCAAAGCGACGTGGACGTGGACGTGAGATAATTCATTTCACTGTGTGATAGAACAAGAAAGAGGAAGAGAAGATGACCTTGGATGATTAAATGATATAAGAGGAAGGGGGTATATGACAGTTTATGTGAATGACGAGCAAAAGAAAATGTGAGAATAGGAAACATGAAAAATGTAACACAGATAATAATACCGATTGCAGCAGAGGGAATATACGGCATTAGGAATACAGTTGAAAAACGAGAGAAGGGCGAAAGGAAGGGGAAGGAGGACATGAATATAGAGATATTGATATAAAAATGAATTATGTAGAGAGTGTTAAATCAACCACGTTTTGTTATGGGGTGTAGAGGACTTACGTGCATGCATTGGGACAGTAGCAATCCAACTTTCCTTCGTCATTCAGTGATTGGATCAGTTGACGGCAACGCTCTGTAAAAAGAGAAATGAAAATCAATTCATGAATAAATAAATAAACACATAGGCCCGAATTCACAAAGGAGGTTTGTCGACAAACCTTGGTTTTCGTACGTCACATGACGCGTTTTACGCATTTTTTACAAACCTGGTTTGTGAAGAACAAAAGGAGGTTTGGCGAAACAAAAGGAGGTTTGAGCTCAAACCTTGGTCTGAGCTCAAACCTTGCTTTGTGAATTCGGGCCATAGGTGTTAGTACTTGTATTTAATTTGTTTCATTAACCTTTCGAGAACAGGGTCTTTTAAGGACGAAATCTTAAGTGAACTGTTTTCCCTCTTCAAATGAGCAACATTGGTAATTGCCCCCAGGTCAGACACATTCCTTTGATATCATCAAGTATCTATTTTTTTGTTTTAGAAATAATATTCATGGACAGAAAGGATGACGAAAAATTGTCAGTGGTGATCGGGGGCGCATGAGGCCCAAATACGTAATGGCAGAGTAAACCAGAGTTGAGGTATTGTGACCGGGAGGTCCTGGGTTCCAAACCAAATCGAAGCACTTTTCGCTCTCCGGTAAGACATTAATCCCCAATATCAAATTTTAAAGTCGCAGGTAGTCCAGATTCAGTCTGTAGTATCTTGAACAACTGCACAATTAGCATTCCATACTTTCTGGTTGTCATTGGTTACTCGTACAAGAACAATGTATAGTGTATTGCAATATGACCTGTACAGAAGTTGAACAGAGAATATACACACGTTATCAACCATGTAATTGAAGGCTGTTGTGTCGTCCTTTCGGCTGTCTAAATAAGGACCAAAACATTACATTTGGCGACGAAGATGTGTGATTTCGTCATGAACCTGAACTTTCATGGACACAGTCCCTCGAGTCACTGCGTAAGTTACTTTGAGAACATTTCAACATGAATTTACCCCAGTTTGAGCGTTTTGAGTGCCATGATGATCTCGCGACCGTGGGTGTGAGATGGGGAAAATACGTGAAACGGCTAGAGAACTTTTTCACTGCATTTGCTGTAACAGACGATGCCCAGAAGCGAGCGTTGCTCCTGCACTATTCCGGTCCTGATGTGCAGGAAATCTTTGAAACACTTCCAGACACAGCCACATCTTACTCTGCTGCCATTAAAGCGCTAGAGAAACATTTTGTTCCGTCTGTTAATGTGGAATATGAACGTTATCTGTTTCGTCAGTGTAAACAATTGAACAATGAAACTGTTGCTCAGTATCATCTCCGTTTGCAGAAGTTAGCTTCATCATGTCAATTCTCGGACAAAACTGCGGAAATCAAATCCCAAATCGTGTTTGGGTGTACATCGCAAAATTTGAGGAGGTACGCACTTCGTGAAACTGTTACACTCGAAAAACTTCTTCATACTGCCCGCACGCTCGAGCAATCTGATCAGTATGCAGCCGAGATGGAGAGTGCTACATCTCGAGAATCAACTGTCGCTGCTACGCGTCATGACAAGCCCTCAAATCCGAACTCTGTCCAACGCCAATTTCGCACTCGTGGAAAACAGCAAGCGACTAGACAGAAAGTCACATGCAGGAATTGTGGTGGTCGGTTCCCACATCCCACAGATAAACCCTGTCCGGCAAAAGGGGTTACGTGCCATTCTTGTGGAAAATCTAGACCATTAAAGTCCAATTCTATCGCAATTCATACTGAACATACAGCAGCATGTCAATGCAGCTGTACTAGCTCTCCGCAGCCTGAGCCTCAGTGTGATCACCAACCTGCTCAGCATAGTAAGGAAGAGCAAGCTGAAACAAAGGACTATGTTTTCAATGTTAATTCTTCTTCAGCCAACGGACCGTTTGTTCAGATTGAGGTCAACGGGATCTCAATTTCAGCTTTAATCGATTCTGGTTCCTCAGTAACGATTGTGAGTCAGAACACGTATCGTTCGATTACACCAAGGCCTCATCTTGACGCGCCCTCCGTTCCTGTGTATGCGTATGGAAGCACAGTCCCGCTTGATGTTGTTGGAACATTCACCGCATCTGTCTCGTATAAATCGAAAACAGTGGAAACAAAGATATTTGTTGTCACGCACAGTGGTGATACACTGCTGGGTTGTAGCACTGCCACTGCACTTGGTCTCCTTCATATCACATACAATCTTCAGCTAGAGCAGTCGTATAAGGATCGTTTCCTTGGTATTGGCAAACTGAAAGATCACCAATGCCATATTCATGTTGATGGATCCGTTCCTCCTGTAGCAGTTCCCCACCGAAGGATTCCCTTCCACATGAGAAAGCGAGTGGAGCAGGAACTTGACAGATTGCAGGAACTTGATATCATAGAACCGGTACATGATACACCTACTCCGTGGGTTTCTCCGATCACTGTTGTCCCGAAGCGTAACAGTGATAACATCCGCATTTGTGTTGACATGCGTCACGTCAACAAAGCTGTGAAGCGCGAACGTCACATCACGCCAACCGTTGATGATCTTGTGTCTGCTTTGAATGGTGCCACAACATTTAGCACTTTGGATCTCAACTCGGGCTACCACCAGCTAGAGCTTGATGAAGAGTCTCGTCCGTACACAGTGTTCTCAACTCATGTCGGACTTTTTCGGTACAAACGACTCAACTTCGGGCTCGCATCTGCATCTGAGATCTTTCAGCACACCATTCAAGCTGTTCTTCAAGACCTACCGGGTGTCTTGAATATAAGTGATGATATTCTTGTGTTCGCGAACAATAAAGCGGACCATGACATTCGCCTCAAAGCTGTACTCGAACGCCTTCGTGAGGTGAACCTGACCTTGAACAAGGACAAATGTGTCTTTGCTGCTGACCGTGTCACATATTTTGGTCACGTTTTCTCATCCAACGGCATTAGCGCTGATCCGAGAAAGATCGAAGCCATCCGAGCGGTACCTGAACCTCGCACCGTGTCCGAAGTCCGCAGTTTCTTAGGCATGGTTAATTACTGTGCCAGGTTCATCCCTGGTCTGGCCTCGATTTCAGCACCTCTTCGCCATCTCACTAAGTCGGATAGTGAATGGGAATGGGGTCTTGCCCAAGCCGACGCCTTCGCTCAGATCAAGCAAAGAGTTTCGCAACAATGCACCATGGCATACTTCAATACGGCCAGCACCACTGAACTTATCGTTGATGCCAGTCCTCATGGTCTGGGAGCACTTCTTGTTCAGCATAACAAGGAGAACACGGTTCCTGTCGCGTTGGCAAGCAGAGCCCTCACAGACGTTGAATCTCGATATTCGCAAACAGAGCGTGAAGCCCTAGCCATCACATGGGCTATTGTCCATTTTCATGTGTATTTGTATGGTGGATCGTTTGTAGTCACAACTGACCATAAGCCGCTAGTATCGCTCTTCAACAACTGTCATGCTAAGCCACCGCTCCGTCTTGAAAGATGGATCCTGAAGCTGCAAGCGTATGACTACACCGTCCAGTATCGTCCTGGTCAGCATAACCCCGCTGACTACCTCTCGCGACATCCTCAGCTATCGGTGATGAGCGTATCTGATGATCAATCCATGGCGGAAGCTCATGTTAGTTTTGTGGCATATCATGCAGTTCCGAAGTCAGTATCAATGTCCGAAATCGCTGAAGCCACAAAACAGGACCCAGTCCTACAGCACGTCATTCGCACCATCAAGAACAACAACTGGCATGACCTTCTTGCGAACTCTACTGAAAACCAATCAGAACTCCAGAGCTTGTTCATTATTCGCGAGGAATTGACAGTGGATGACAATTCTCTTCTCCTCCGCGGACATCGCATAGTAGTCCCGCAGTCTCTTCGTAAACGCATCATTGATATTGCACATGAGGGACATCAAGGCATCACAAAGACAAAGTGTCTTATCCGTGAAAAAGTGTGGTTTCCCTCTATTGACAAGATGACAGAGAAAATTGTTCGTGATTGTATCACATGCCAGTCTAACACAATCGAGCATGTCAAAGAGCCTCTGCGCATGTCCCCTCTGCCCCAAAAAGCGTGGTCAGAACTTAGCATTGATTTCGCTGATCTCCCGTCAGGTGACCACCTGCTTGTTGTTATGGATGACTATTCTCGTTTCCCCGAGGTTGAAATTGTCTCATCTACTTCAGCTCAGCAAGTCATCCCCAAGCTAGACCGAATTTTCTCAAGTTTCGGCGTTCCTGATATCGTCCGTACGGATAATGGGCCTCCTTTCAACAGTCGTGAATTCGCTGACTTTGCCGACTACCTGGGTTTCAAGCACAGAAGGGTAACCCCCAGGTGGCCCCAAGCGAACGGTGAAGTTGAAAGATTTATGAGAACACTGAAGAAAGCCTATCGCTCTGCCATCGCTCAAAACAAATCGTGGAAGCAAGAACTCTACAGATTTCTTCGCAATTACCGCGCCACGCCGCATACCACGACTGGTGTCCCCCCTGCCACACTCCTGTTTGGCAGACCTGTCCGTACTCGCCTCCCTGAGCCTATAGTTCCCGTCTCCGACATTCAAGAACGAAATTCGGATAATCAACTCCGCTCTCGCGATCGTGGCAAGAAAGCGAAAATGAAAGCGTACGCGGATAGTCACGGTACAACACGCGAGAAGGATATCGATGTAGGAGACACAGTTCTTGTCCGCCGTGATGGTATAGTGTGCAAACATCAGTCCCCGTACCTTTCCACACCATACAAAGTAGTTAGGAAGAAAGGTTCACGAATCACTGTACGTCATGGTAATCACTACATCACGCGAAACGCATCACGTTTCAAGCGTTACACTGGTCCTATTCCCTGTGACCAATCTGCTAACAATGATCAAATTGAAATTGACCTTAGTGATGATAATGCACAAGGACAACAACTTGTTGTGCAACCGCGACGTAATCCTAGACGCAATCGACGACAACCAGCACGGTTGCGCGATTATGTTTAGTTCACAGTCTATTCATTACTCATAAACTAGTCAAAGACAAAGAAAACTGGAGAAATGCACAATATGACTAAATGATGAGACATTGACTCTTAATCTTGCATTTTTTAAGAAAAAAAACAAACAAACTTTTGATGGCAAACTTTTTATTCAGGTTACTGTATGCATTTATGTGTATTTAAACAAATTATTGTTCTAACCTGTCACAATGGAAGTTTGCATAATGTTCATGTGAGTTTTCATTTCTGATCAAGATTAGATCTCAAGGGTGGATTTCATATTATCTTTTTATTCTTTGCTGTTAGTTTAATTATTGCATGTAACTTGATTAATGGCTCAGAGTGTCGTAACTATTGGTTTGAAATTATTTTCAGTGTATAACAGATTTGCATTTACTCAGTATGCTTTGTAAACACTTATAGCTTAATTGTTAAAAAAAAAAAAACAATCAAACAAACAAACACAAACTAGAGCCTCCAGAAATCTGGTTCAGTTTTATAAATATTGCTCTTCAATATTACGGAGTTGGAAGTAATTTATAAGGTTTTATAAAGAGCGGATTCCAATTGAATCAGTTTAATTTTCTACATTCATGCAAAGAAAATATTTTGTACACTTGGCTATTTTTCAAAAGGAAAAAAAGAAAGGAAAATGTAAAAAGGTGTTATTTGTTGCCATTATATTGTGTTTATGAATGAATATCAGTTTTGCACAGTTTGAAGGTTTGTACATGTGTATTTGCTGATTGCTATGTTTTATAATCTATGATATTTGATATTTGAGTTCATATTGTTCGATGCTATTGCCTCATGCCTACAATGTATGACAGAACAGTCAATTGCATTTTTTATGCTTTATTATACTGAAACAGACTTGAGTGCTAAGAACAAGATTTTTATGCTAGCAAACAGTTATTGACCTCTGCAGGTCATAGGTAATTTTAATCTGTTGATATGAAAATATATCACTACATAATCAGCTTATTTCAACCATGAATACTTCCTAAAAGCCTAATTTACAACTTTTAGAGTTCACATTTTATTAGATGGTATATTGCTATATGCATAAGCTCTGCATGATCTCACAAAGTGAATTATTTCTTGTTTGAAGTGTATATATGTAATACTGGCTATCCGTAGCAAGTTTTGTCTTATGCAAGTTAGTTATTTAACCATTACATGTGTACATGAGTTCTATACATGGCTTTGTGCAAATTAGCTGAGTTTGGTTAATGTTCAAGTTTGGTTTTATACTCTAAATGAGTTACAACTTGTTTTGATGTTTTTTCCAAAGTTTGTTCTTACATGGTCTAAAACACATTGATGAATGATTGTTACAGTTTGATGATGTCAAACAAGCCATAGAAATAACAACAGCTACACTGTGATTGACTTATCTCATTATAGAAAGGTTTTAATCCAGGTAGGGAGGATTGTAGTATCTTGAACAACTGCACAATTAGCATTCCATACTTTCTGGTTGTCATTGGTTACTCGTACAAGAACAATGTATAGTGTATTGCAATATGACCTGTACAGAAGTTGAACAGAGAATATACACACGTTATCAACCATGTAATTGAAGGCTGTTGTGTCGTCCTTTCGGCTGTCTAAATAAGGACCAAAACATTACACAGTCCGTTCGTTCTTTTTATCCCCCACACACAGCGCTGTCTCTCCACTGATCAGGCAATCCTCAAATTTCCGTCCACACGTATTCGAGGTCCAGATTTAGAGGAATGGCTAGGTCTACTTTCAACGTTGAGGGCGTGTTATTTTATCAGCTGATTGGGTGCGCTAAACGAAAACGGTACAGAGGCTGGACTAAGTCGCAGGCTGCACTGGTACGGTTACTAACGTAAGCATATTGCTTTCATCGTCATATAGTTTTCTTTTTCAGTCATAGACCTAATCAATCAATCAACATACTTTGAATCAATCTCAGGCTCAATAACCTTGTCCATTAATTACATTCTGAAATGTGCATAAATTGTATAATGATGTAATACGAAATCCGACGTGATTTCTATGGTATATAACAATAAATACCTGCAAGCCTACTGTATGAATACATATATAATACGTTATTGAAATTGCCACTGAGTTGATTCATTGAAAGTCTTCACGATCTTGTTATTTTTATTATTTTTTTATTTATTGAAATATATTCAATCAAGATAACAAGAATCAGATATCCATTTTAGATACAAAATCTGTTTTACATCATGGTCCTGAACAGCATAAAAATGTAGTACACGGAAATATAAATAATGACTTACGTTGTGTAGAATTGAAGTAGCTGCATTTAGCAAGGTCGAGATCTTCTATGATATCATCGACACAGCCGCATCTGTCGTACATCTCATCTAGTAAACACTGTCTCTTGCACCCGAGCGTGGAGTAGGAGAATTCGACGGGTTGGTAAGGGGTTTCGACTCCATCCTCGGTGCAGTTTCCATACTTGCCTCCTTGTCGAAGGATTAGATTCTACGGTGAACAAATCGGAGAAAAGAAGAGTTATCAGTGATGATAATAATCTTTCGTATATTTTCTTATCTGGATTTAACAATCCCAAAAGACATTTGATATAGCGCCTTTCCCTTGCAGTTACAAGAGTCACTAACTTAAAAACAAAAACAAAACATGTATGTGTAATGTTAGGTTAATGTTCTTGCCCAAAGCTCAGACTCAATACTATTTCTGAAACCACACAAACAACACGACCATTTTTACAAGGAGCACTTGCAGTGTATATGTTTCCAAATTTGGCAATATTTGGTATTATCATTATTATTATTTTTTTTTTTGGGGGGGGGGGGGGGGGGGGCGGGAGACCCTGTTTAGTTGTCATACCGGTAATTATGAATATATGACCAACCTGACGGATGCCAATGGAGGTTGCTGTACCAGTAGGTGATGTGATACCATCATCTTCAGGTAGAGGGATCACATTGGGATCATGGATGGCTACTCGAACTCCAGATTCTTGCGAGAATATTCCGACATATTCCGGCTGCTCGATGAAAAGCGTCAAGTGGAGACCTATTAAATGGAAGAAATTGAAACTATTTGGAACATATTCGTTGTACCGTTCTCGACTCTTAATCCTTATCTGAATAAGCTTCCCCTCTCTCCCCCCCCCCCCTTCCGCGCGAAGCGCGGAAGCTTTGACTTTTCATTAAATTACTAGAGAAAGAAGACGATTCGTTGTACCGTCCTTGACTCTTAATCCTTTTTCTTAATACGTCCTCTTCCTTTCTTCTTTCTCTTTTTTTTTGGCCGGCGTTTTTTTTTTTTTTTGGGGGGGGGGGGGGGGCGACCGCCCCCACTGCCCCCTGGCTACGCGATGCGTATTGGCTTGTCTCTTGTCTCTATAATTGTCTCCCCCATCTCCCCCCTCTCTCTCTCTCTCTCTCTCTCTCTCCTTTCTCTCTCATCACTCTTCCTATAAGACACTCACCATAATATTATGTTGATCCCGACTTGCTGGTCTCAATAAAAGACTGATTGATTCTCTCTCTCTCTCTCCCTCTCTTTACCTTTCTCTCTCATCGCTCATCCTATCATGTAGGCTACCTACCATAGGTTGATCCCGACTTGCTGGTCTCAATGATTGATTGATTGTCTCTCCCGTGGTTGAAAGTGAAGCAGTTTCCATACACTTTGTTTTGGAACATTTTGAAGTCACTGAAATAAACAACAATTTAATAACGGACTATACAGAAGTACATAAGCAGAATTTATTATATCTTTTACTCATAATGAGTCTACTTTTCTAATCTTCATGGACCTACATATCTCTCTTAGTTGTACAACTAACTAAACTAACACTAATTATAATTATAATTATAAATATCTAATATAAGCTCATCTTTCATATATCAAAATAAACTTAGATTATCCTTTTAAGTCGGAATGCCTCATTACAACTTTACAAACCATGGAGTTACTCCATGGACAAACGTAATAGCTTGCCCTACCTAACAACACGTAATGTATGCAATTCGCATCCTGACTATTGAAATGCAATTAACTGTAACAGGTGAATGATATCACGAGGCACTTAACATATATTTATGCATCAAATTCGATAACATTACGAAAATGGCCAACTGGAATCACACCATGCATTCACGCATGAGTAGGCACAGCCATTTAAAGAGGAATACCGAAGAAAAAGGAAAAACGGTCGAATTATACACCCTTTCCAAGTTTAGTGCATGAAAAATACAACAGCGTTTAGTTTATAACTTTAGAAGGTTGCGTTTAGGAGAATGACTACTTTGAAAATTGTATATTCTAAATCATGTTTGATCGCAAGTTTCGCGAGAATATTGAGGCCCGATTTGATGGCGTCATGGGGTGAAGTAAGTGCAAACCCGGAAGTGTCGCGCGTCGGCTTGTGAGAACTAGCTCACCGAAGTGATTGCCTCGTCGAAATTAGCTCGATAATAATAATAATAATAATAATCCGGTTTTTTATATAGCGCTCAATACACCGATCCAACGATGTACCTAAGCGCTTTACAGATATATTATTACCCCGGTCATCGGATTCAGGCTTACCCGCACACAATGTGTGCACATTTTCCACTACCTGGGGAGCATTCCAGCCAGTCGCCATTTTACAGGCGCACACTTCCCAATAAACAGAACACCAAAAAGTAACCTCTTTTGGGAGTGTATTTTAAGTGATTAAAGTATAGTGCCTTTTGAACTAGATTTAAACGTTATCGACACGTGCCTTCATTTAAAGATAAAAGGTACTCCTGTTCACGTTTTCATCTAACCTAAAAACCACCAGTTTATCACGCGACTGGAGTAACGTGATTCCACTTACCTCTGTAAATCAAGTGTTTATGACCAAATAACCACTTGACCAAGCAACGAGTTTTTTGTCAGTTAACCGATGGTGGCGATAAATACGTAATTATTTGGTCTTGTAAGCACCTTTATTTATTGGTTTCACAGGTTATCCAAGGTTGATGGTAATAATCACGTTACTTACACCGGCTAATCGTCTTATTGTTCTGTCCGTGAATCTCTGGTTATATTCAACTAGTAATTCTGAGGTGTCTTACACACCTCTTTAAAAGGTTTCAAAGTTACCATAAATTTCTTGGTTATGATCACGTGGCTCAAGCTGATTACTAATCTAAGCTGTGAAAACGTGATATGTAGGTGTGAAAATTAGTAATTATTAAGTGTTTTAAAACACCTTTTTAAATGGTAGTCAAAGTTGCCATAAGTTCCCCGGTGATGACCTCGTGACTCAAACGGATTATTGATCTAAGCTTGTCATACGTGACTTTTAGGAGTGAAAAATTAGTCATTATTAGGTGTCTTAAAACACCTATTTAAATGGTTTCAAAGTTACCATAACTTTCTTGGTGATGATCACGTAGTTAAAACTGATTACTAATCTAAGCTGTGAATCCGTGATATTTAGGTGTGAAAAATTAGTCATTATTAGGTGTATTAAAACACCTATTTAAATGGAAGTCAAAGTTGCCATAAGTTCCGCGGTGATGATCGCGTGACTCAAACGGATTATTAATATAAGCTGGGTATTTCGTGTTTTCCATGTGTGAAAATGAGTTATTCGTGGGTGTCTTGATGGTTTCACAGTTACTATTTAAGTTCCGTGGTGATAATCCCGTGACTGTTGGCATATTTCTATGTTCACCAGTTGATAACTGACTGTTGGCATATTTTCATTGCACCAGTTGATAACTGGAGTGTGCACATTTCCAGTTGCACCAGTTGATGACTGAGCGTTGGCATATTTCGAGTTGACCCAGCTGACACCAATTCATTTGCATATTGAATATGGGGTGCGTGCAGATCTATGTTTTTTAAACAATTTATCTGAATTTGCAGCATATTTCTTAATTACTGATGATTTAGTTATATGCAATTCATTTCGAAAATACTACAAATATAAATTACCAGTTATTTGGACATTTCGCTACTTCGTATAAATAGTTAAACATGAATAAGGGAAACATTAACTGTGAACTAAAATAATTTCAATAAAGTACAAGTACACGAATTTTTTTCGATTAATTCAATTATGTAAGTCTACTTATTACCAATGCCCTTACATTGGAAATACAGACGTACCAGTATTGAAGTATTGTTGCTGTTCAACTGGTTGGAAGTTTTACCAAATGGTTCTAATGGCTCAGCTAGACTAGTTGAATTATAACTGGCCTGGATCAACTGTGGATCATTTAGCCCATTTCAATTTCCAGGGTTACCAGTTGGTATTAAAAATGGTTCATCAACTGGACCAGTTGCAACTAGCTTTCTCTTTTGGGATGTTTGCACCCCCCCCCCCCCCCCTACCCAACCCCCTCTAATCCCAAACTGCTTCCGGCGCGCCTGGACGTAATTATGGAAGATCCCAGACACGATGTTCAGAAACGGGATGAGAACGTCATTATTTTGGTTCATTTATTGTGTAACATTTGCGTAATTATTGGGTTGAACGCGGGTTACAGTAACATACTTCCTCTTCGACGTAAATTTCACGTGAATGAAGAACATGATTCATCTCAAGTCAGCCTCGTAATATTCACGTGAATTTCACGCAGATATTTTGACTAAAACTATTATTAACGCTTCACGTGTTTCTGTGACGCGATAATTTCGTGTATGAAGATGTAATTTCATAACGAAACAAACACGGGAGTATTAGGTTTACAAACCATGGTCTCCAAGGTAGGGATAATCACGTTATTATAATGGTGATATTGCAGTGACAATTGCGTGATTTAGTGTACGTGTGTTTTAAGTTACCTAATGCAATAAACGTATTAACACATTTACGTAAATGTACGGTGTTTGAAGAACGTAACTCTCCTCAAGTCGATACCTTGATATTGACGTGATTTTCACGTGATTTTGTTTATTGGGTTGCTCGTTCAACCACATGAACGTTCGCATCCTACCGGGTACCCATTTAACACCTGGGTGGAGAGTAGCAAGTACAGGTAAATATCTTGCCAAAGGATATTAGTGCCGTGTCAGGATTCAAACCCTCGACCTTCGCATCTACAGTCAAGCGCCTTAAACCACTCGACTACGACACTCCCGCTGAGAGCGAAAGATGGAGAGAGAAGATGATTAAGGATTAAAACAAGAAATAACACGAGGAAAGGTAGAAAGAGAAGATAATAGAAACATAAAAACTTTACAAATATTTATGCATTAATTTAATTACGTAAAATGAAAAAGGTTCGTTGAGTGAGAACTTTTATTTCTGAATGATAGAGTAGATTTAAACTCACGTGTAATTACAATTCCTCTTATCGAATGTACACTGGAGAATGAAATCCTCGGGCTGGTGACCAAGTTCTTCTAATTCTACTCTGGTTGGGTTGGCTACATCGATGATATCACTGAAATCCTCACTCCTGGAGTTATCATAGAATCCCTGCCAATCACTTTCACCGTCAACCAGATCCTCCCAAGCGTAATAGTCGTCAAACTCGAACTGGAAGCTGCCCCAAAGCTCACTGCCCCAACTGTCCCAGTCATCAAACCACGAGTTCCAATATGTGCTGGAGGCGTAGCCTCCGCCCCACCCCCAAGACGAGCTAGTGCCCCACGCGTAGGAAGAACTCCAGCCGCCTCCGCCCCCTCCACCACCCCAACTGCTACTGCCGCCATAACCGCCGCCTCCACCTCCATAACTGCTACTGCCTCCACCACCACCACCGCCATAGCTGCTACTGCCTCCACCACCACCACCGCCATAACTGCTACTCGACGAAGAGGCCCCACGAGCCACGCGCTCTCCGTGGATAAATCGACGAGCGCCTTTATACTGGGGGTTTGGCTCAATCACGGTTTCCTCATCGGTCGTGTCGTCAGGGACAGATTCGAAATCTTGGAAGAGGTTGTCGTAAGGCATAGCCCGCTTCTTTCGGCTGCCCATGCCTCCTCCCGAACCTCCAAGGCTTCCTCCACCCGAACTTCCAAGACTTCCTCCTCCTCCTCCCCCAGCTCCCCAGGAGTAGCCAGAGGAGTAATACTCGTTCCAAAAGTCGGAAGAGAAATCAAACCACCATGAATAGGCGGAGTCGCCGTCGTCGTCGAAACCTCCATCAATTTCTATCAGCCCTGCATAAACAGAAGAAAGAAAGAGTGAGCAGATGAGCATAAGGTATAATGGTATCTCTTCATATTCAACGGTTTAAATTGTATAGACTGAAAATACGTTGAAAGATGCGCTTTTTCGTCTCTTTCTATCCGGGGTATCACTTAATGGTTCAAGTTTTGCAAATTAGCAATTAATTGAAAGAAGGTTGAGCGAAATGTGTCTTTGTCTCTTTCTTTTGGCAATATCATCCCTTCATATTAAACGATTCAAGTTTTGTAAACAAGTAATATTCAACACCATTCTGGCTCTCCTAGCTAAGTTCTTGAAAGTTATAATCAGACAAACAAAAATCGAAAATTGACATTTCATGTTACCAGATGGGATTGAAATTAACAGCAGATATGGGAATGACTAGGGATGCGCATGATGTTTTGAACATAAAAGCATCTTTCTTTGACAAGAGAGACAATCATTTCCAAATTATACTTCGTTCGAATATTGTACACACAAAAACGAATACATGTAGTGAATAGTATTAACGTATACCGATCTGAACGAATCTATTTACACTATTTTCATCGTTGATTAAAGAACGAGAGCAGGATCCCTCCTTCAAAAGTTCGTCTCAGCGGAGTTATCTTTATTTCATTGTTATCATCGTTTTCATATAGCTATCTTTAAATATTTCCAACTCCCAGTCATATAATTGTGTACCACCGATTCTCGCTTGGCACTGTTCCCGCTTTCCCGAACTTTTCTTTATTGTTCCTTCCATGAGGTCGTTTATAATTGTAAGACAATCATAATTATGACTCATGAGTCCGAAGAATGATTACCTGTATACAATATGTAGCCTAATCTTTTCATGGACTTCGGACCGTCAGTAGTTGGTCCGGTCCGCTTTAAACCAAGATAGAACTGAGAGAAGTTATACCACTTAACATTTGTCAGAATATCCTAAAAATCGATCTTCGAAGATAGTTATCTTGGAACGTGAAAATGGTAAGTGTACCTTCGTAGCCTTAATTTTCACTATGAGAGCGAGAAATGCACTTCAGAGAAATGTGTTGAAGGAGTCCGTAAATTGTGTTCTTTTTATTAATGTACGTGAATCGAAGTTGTGCAGATCTGGATTTTTTGTTTGCGTTAGAATTTGATTCGACTTTTTAATTATCCACAGGTCGGTATGGACATCGTAAGCGTGATACTGACTCCATTCTTCGTGCTAGCCGTCACGTATACTGTCGCCCCTCCATCGCCGTCGAGGCTCGCAATCCTTCTCAAATGTCTCCCCATTGTCTGCCTCTGTGGTCTCGTCATCGCTGTCACCCTGGGCTCCGCCACTCATACCCAGCTCATCCAGAGATACAATACCGCTGTCATCGTCGGGCTCGCACTATCAGGCATCGGCGATGCAGCTTTGGTTTACGTCGACGACCAGGGTTTCTTCATCCTCGGGCTTCTCTTCTTCGCTCTGGCTCATCTTTCTTACATCTACGCCTTCGGATGGAAGCCGGTCAACATTCCCCTCCTCTTCCCATGCTTCATCTTAGCGTGCATCGGGTACAGCTTGGTCTATCAAGGCCTTGCCGAGCACAATTTGGTGTTCCTCGGGGGTCTATACACGGTCCTCCTCATGTTCATAGGGTGGCGGGCTCTGGCGAGAGCTCGCTTGTCCGAAAGTCGTTGGACGTGGACTCAGCTGGCAGCACCCCTTGGTGCTCTGTTCTTCTGTTTCTCTGATGCTACTCTCGCAATGAACAAATTCTACAAACCAATCCCATATTCCCAGACTATAGTCATGTCAACCTATTACGCAGGGCAGTTAGGCATCGCTTTGTCAGTTCTGGGGCATGATAGTAAAATGTAACTACTGCACTTTAATAATATGATTTCCAAAAGTCATATCAGTTTTGCAGATTGCTGGGGATGGCGGGAGCATTTTTTTCTTCATGGGAGGTGGGCACCATGGATCTGCCTGTTTTATTTTATTTTATAATTATGATCTGAAATATGAAGTATTCACTATCGCTTCGTTAAATAAAGGTATTGGTAAGTGCTTGTAAAAAAATGAGAACATATCAAAGGCTATGTTATTGTGATATATTGATCAATCTACATAAAAATCGAAGATTAAATGAATAAGTAATTATATCAATAACAAGAGGTGCTTTACCATTTTACCCTACTCTGTCACCTGTGAAGCTCACGAAAGGTAAATAAAAAGAGAGGTGAAAAGGAACGAGGGAAAATTAGAAATAGAGTGTGTGTGTGTGTGTGTGTGTGTGTGTGTGTGAGTGTGCGTTTGTGTGTGTGCGTGTGTGTGTATGTGTGCGTGGGAAGGGTGCGTGAGGATGATGCGCGCATGCGTTTTATAGTATGTGTGTGTACAATCGATGTATTAAAAATGTATTGAATCATGTCAAGATGAGAAACAACTGTATTTCTAAGAATGATTTGTATTGTTTTGGAATCAATAAAAAAAAAAACTATTGAAGACAAAAAAGTGTGTATGTCTGTGTATGGCAGGAGACATAAAGATAAAGAGAGAGAGAGAGGGGAGAGAGAGAGAGAGAGAGAGAATTTAATAGGGAGACAAAAAGCTAAGTAGGGACAGAGAGAGAACTAAGCTGACGGAGATCAATACGACAATATAGGCATAGCTATAGATTATCATTGAGCACGGCAGCCGCACGACAGCTCAATAGTTCGGTGTTGTTTGCACTTTGGTCCAGTTGTGTTTGTTTCTACATGTATTATCTATAGCCGCCAAATTGAAACAAGCCCAATCTCAAACTTTTCTCAAAGGCGGTAGTTCAAACTGAAGCAAACTTTAAGAGTAATTCATTACAATTAGATGACCTAGAGGACGATAGACGTGATTCTTACTCTACAGATATGGTAAGTCAGTTTTCTTGCATTCTATTTATGTTTTTGTTTTGAGGGCAATAATAGAGTTATGAAATTAGTTATTACTTTTTAATACCGGCCTAACGCGACCAGCGGCCATTCATTTTGCTTCCGCTGGCCACCAAAAATGCCCACACAACGACTGCCAGCGCCAGCCGTGTAGCAACCAAAACGGCAGGTATTGAGCATTTTCGTACACAACTAGGTGGTCGGAAATCTAACGGCCATTTACACACAAAAAATATTCGACCTCAAGGTTTTATTTAATTACCGACAGGATATGGTTTCTTGCACATATACGGGCTACAGCGTTATTGTCATGAACTTCGCAATTAATGCCTGGCTTGTTCGCGGACAGTAGGCTACAGACAGTCATGTATAATGTTCCATTTGAAACTGAACTGTAATGTCCCCAAAAATATGATTTTAAAAAAAAGGGGGGGAGACCAATCACTGTGAACATGATGTACAAAGAAAGAGGACAAAATATACAGTTCCTCATGTAGACAAATGAACATCCCTTCACTGCTATTATGTAAAAATGACTAAAACAGGTGAATATGCATGTGACACCTGTTCTACACATTTTTACATAATAACAGTGAAGGGATGTTCCTTTGTCTACCTGAGGAACTGTATATTTTGTCCTCTTTCTTTGTCCGTCATATTCATAGTGAAAATTGCAATTTCCAAAGGGTCTACGGCACTTGCAGCTGCCCAGAAACACCACTGATCTCTACGTAGATATCAGGATGGTACATTCTTCCCCATTCGGGAGGTTTCCGCCCAACTGTTGACTGATTTTTGGATACCCACATCCTGCTTACGTTGATGTACATTAGGAAGAGGATTTAAAAAATCTATTTAACAAAAGATAAATTGTTCGTAGGCCTATTTAGTCATGCAAGGTGGATGTTTGCGTGTTCTTACGCTTACACATTAAAACCCTCTCTTTTGCCTTTTGATTTCGCGGAAATGCTTCAAATAGCACTCACTATGAATATGACGGACAAAGAAAGAGGAAAAATATACAGTTCCTCAGGTAGACAAAGGAATATCCCTTCCCTGCTATTATGTAAAAATGTGTAGAACAGGTGTCACATGCATATTCACCTGTTCTACACATTTTTACATAATAGCAGTGAAGGGATGCTCTTTTGTCTACCAATTGTTGAGGGTAGAATGAGGAACTGAATATTTTGTCCTCTTTCTTTGTCTGTCATGTTCATAGTGACTAACCCTCATTGACATTCGTCTTTTACTATATTACCCTATGGTATACTTCTTCAAATTGCTGTTTGGAATAATATGACAACCAACCTGTCGGGACACATGAATATTCTGGTGCACCATTGTTATCGTTCGCATTTGCCTTTTTCCCACGATGCGTGTGAAAACGTTAGCGAGGAGACTGGCTTTGGCACTTTGCTGAAAATGATGCATCCGTTTTTTTCTCGATTGAGTGATCGATGGGGGCGTGGTCCTGGTGACTCATCGTAAAATAGAGACGAGAGACTCTTCAATATTTATGCTATGACAACCTCTTTTAAAAAATATAGACTTGAAATGTTGCATTCCAATTGAGGCTGTTGGTCGTACATTAGTTGCTTTGTCGCGTTTTGAATTTTGAATCTCTAAAAATAGCACATTCGTTGTACTACCACTAACACCGACACCAGACAAACGTCATATTTAAACGAATGGCTATAAAAATCGACCGGTCGGCCAAACGTAGCGAATATGACGTTATTTGATTTTAATTTGCTTGATTTTTGTCCATCGGGTCAAGGTTGACAAATTGACGTTGAGGCAAGCTTGGCATAGCTTGTGGCCAACGGTGGCTTGCTGTCTGCCTGCCGAGCCTCCGTCTATTGCCGACGCTTCTCTTATGTAGTATTAGGCTGTGGGTAGGGTACTAAAGACTTGCAAATTATAATTTCATGATTGTCATTTCTCTCATTTTTTCAGACAAATTTCGTTAGTCTCAGAGTTCTTCTCTTCGTCATCCTTTCCTTCATCTATGTCGTGTTCAAGCCGGAACCATCATGGTTCGCCATCTTTCTTAAAACTCTCCCCGTCATATACCTCTGTGCTCTTGTCGTCGATACGATCCTTGGTTCGAAGCTCAAATTCGTTTCCCAGTACGACGCCTCAGTCCTTGCTGGGTTGGTTCTATCGGGCTTCGGCGATGCGGCCCTCGTCAACGCTGCTGATGACAAGCGCTTCTTCATCCTCGGCCTTCTCCTCTTCGCTCTGGCTCATGCAAGCTACATCTACGCTTTCGGCTTGAAGCCTTTCAACATCAAGCTCTTCACTCTCTTTGCGATCCTTGGGTGCGGAATACATAGTCTATTGCACTCCGGTATGGCTAGGAATGGACTAGCTAGTCTAGGTGGTCTCTACAATATCCTGATCATGACAATGGGCTGGAGAGCGCTTGCGCGACAAACTCCCCCCGGAAACCAGACCGCTAGGACCTGGTCTGCAGTGGGTGCGATACTGTTCGTCATCTCAGACTTTGTTTTAGGACTAAATAAATTCCGCGCACCAATACCGTATGCTCAGACGATCATCATGGTGAACTACTACGCAGGGCAACTTGGTATTGCTCTCTCTGTCTTCGGACGTGCCAATTAATTCTGAAGAGGAAATAATTTACTTACTTAAGGTCACTTAAAGATGAAGTTGAGTTCTGGTCATGCGATTGCATTGTGAAAGAAACGGTGTGGAACCGACCAGAAAAGGTTGATCATCTAGCATATAAGAATTTGTGTGTATTGCAAGGTTCTGGAACCATCAAAATGATATGAAACGTGGCCAAGTCTTGGTAAAGTTACAAACACTTGCACAGAAAGATGTATATGGGACTACACGAACACGTGGCGTAAAAAGCCGCCCCCCCCCCGATTTTTACGATGTTACATGCATATTTAGAATGTGAAGGCATTTGAAGAGCCATGCTTTTCAGGGAACATGTCTTAACTGATGTTCTTCCACACTTGCATAATAAGAATGAGTAATGCTCACAAATTATTTTTCACCTCTTCCAGAACTCAACCTTCTCTTTAAGGTTGACTTATGGATGCAGGTTGATATATGCCCAGATCCTGGTAATCTAGTTACTCCGGTAGTATAGGCGCGGTCGGTGGTGCTGCTCACTAATTTTACTTAAATTCATCACTTTGCAAAATCCTATACAGCATATTTTCAAAATGAAATCGGTATCATCATCCACAATTTGGTTTGGAAGACTGTGCAACATATCATAGAGAAGAAATTACTACGAATACTTTAGTCTAGTCTGCGCTTAGACCATTTAAATCTATTACCTCTAGTGCTTGTGGTACCGAACTCAAAGAGAGGCGTCACGCTAGAAGTCTCAATTATGTCACTACGAGCTCGTCTTTTAATCAGCGAAGGCAACTTCAGTCTACCTTTCAATGACGGAACAAAATTAGTGCCCCTCCTCTGTACATTTTAATCAATCAACATAGTAACTCTGACAAGACAGGAGTTTGTCAGTCGCTTTTTGTAATAGTGGAATGTTAGACCTACCTTCGAACCTGGTCCCGACCATCTTGGAGCGGCGCATGCGGTTCATATTACAAACCGTGACGGCCGGGAAGTCCACGTAAGTCCTGGTCTGGATCTTGATGTTGGTATTGACGGGGTTGCTTCTATAGTCCGTAAGGATATCCCAGGCCTGCCGGCAGAAGACGTAAGTCGCACCGGAGAAGACTAGGAACCAGAAGATCTTCCAGTACCATTTGCCTTCGCTGATGACGCGTGGTAACCCATGGGCCGTGGTTGAGTCGGCGAAGTCATTGAGAACGCTACCATAGGTTGCCCGCTTAGGAGGTTCTTGGAAGGGGGTGGCCATTGGACTCCTAGGTGATGGAGGTAACGCCTAAATAATAATAGGACATTTAGAATTTAATGGATGATAATCTTCTTTTTGTCTTAATTATAAAATTATTGTTATCATTTACAATATTGTAGTTTTATGTATTTTAAATGATTTTGTAATTGTATTAACTTGAGAACAAGTTAGCGACATGCGGAATACCGCCCTGCTGACTCCAATTTCAGAAGGTTCAGAAGAAGGTTCATGGGCTGCTTATCACGATTTACAATACCATGAATAATTAAATCGATCAACAAAACAACAATTAACACTTTTTTTAGAAATCTAGGGACTAACAATTCAATACCCTGTTAAACCGCCAGGATAATTCATGTTCGGATTTTGTTATAGGTCATCGTAATGTTCATACCTTACAAAGGGTGATGCACGAGACCTGATAGTTACTTTGAGTTTGTGAGTTTTTCACAGTGCTTGTGAGTTCTACAATCGTGTCAATTGTGAATTATGAATTCAGTCATGAATATTAATACTGTTATTGATTTGTTGTCATTCTTTAGATGAAAGTCGAGTACATTGTTTGAAAATAAAGTTGATATGTTGTAAACAAAGTACATGTACCTGGTATTTATTTCACCCCCAGAATCGTCATTCGAAAAAGTGTGGGGCTTTGACACCCTCCCCATCCTGCCATTCAGTTTCAAATTTTGATTAGAAGGTTTGAATTATTGAGGGCTTTTTGTTTTTATTTAGGGCGGCTAAATGTTTTGACGTCCCAATGGAAATATTCTAGCGATGCCCCTGTTCTATTCTCTCTCGCCCTCGCTTCAAGTAAACAAGACGGAGCATTTTGAGGTTATGAAACCTAAACAATAATTTCAATCTGTTATTTTAAATGACTGAAAGATACAAGTCGACAAAAATGAAACGAAACGAAAAAAAAAAAGATATACACGACGACGGTGGTACATTTTCATTGAAATACAGTAACAGGATTGACAACACAATTGCACGGAGAGATTAAAATAAATAAAACTAATGAAAAATCAAAGATTTGATTACCTTTGTCTCGACTCCGACCATGTCATCACCAGGGGGTACCCCAAGGCCAACACTCATACGCTGTTTCTCCGAATTATACCTGTAATTAATTTCATACAATAAACACAAATTATTTATGATTAGAGGTTGATAAGTCTCCGGACTTTACTAGTCAATTAATTTTATTATTTGAAGAAAAAAAATGTTTTAGTTTTCTTTGCTGACAACTGATTTTTCTTATATAAAGCCTCGGTCACAAATGCCAGTACGAACTGCTACGAACGCCGTACGAACGACTTTTAGACAATGGAAATTCGGGAAGACAATGGAAAAACAAGGAGATTCGTACGAATTTATCGTTCGTACGAACATTTGTGACCGTAGCATTACTGAAGATATAGCGTATATATTCAGTACTGAATGAACGCCATAAAACTACTACCAACAACAATATCTCCGGACTGTGAACCGCAAGGTACGGGGCTCGAATCCCAATACCGCAGTAACAATGTCAATTGGCAAGATATTAATCAACATTTGCCATGCACACTCGGCCCAGGTGTATATGACATGAATGTTGGTAATGAATTATTAAACCAATCAGATTTTATATCGAAAATAACCATATAGGGGACGAAAAGTGCTTGTTTAGCGGGTATTAATAGTGCTCGAATCATTTGCAATGGCGAATCATAAACATATATATCAGTAGTTTCATTCTTCTATATATTACTTTATCCTCATTACATGAAGGGAAATCAGCTTTAGGAATCGAGAATAAGTCGCCATCGTAGGCTAATGATTGCTACAAGAATTTGACATGAAAGAGGGAGGAAACTATGCGAAATCGGAACGAATTACAAAGACACATGATTTTAAAGATATAGACAAACATAAAAAATCAACTTTCACAATTTGTGCCGCTCTTTGCACATCATATGTGTATTCTATTTTCGGAGAATCCAGCATTGCTTATTCAGTCAACTTACACGTAGTCATTTTGCCCATATTCCATTATATTCACTTGCACATCGTATGCACCTGCCGGTCATAAATGAAATTTGTCAACAACTTTACAACATTTCCAATAATCTTTCATCCAAGTCATATATCCATCGTTTCACGAATCATGAATACGAGTTACAGGACAAACCATACAACATTCTCCTTCAAATGTTGAATGGAAAGTCAAAGTTTTAAGCTGATGGTAGAGAATTGTTGTGCAAAGACGAAAGTGTTTACTGGTCCCTTACACGCGTCTCCTACACAACAAGATGCGGGGAAACAAACTGATCAGAAGAGTGAAAGAGTTTCTTTGGTAAGAAATCGATTTCTGCAGCTCTTTTCAATCATTTGCGGTTTGATGTTTAACCACTAAGCCGTGACTGGCAAGTTCGATGCTCCGTTGCTCGTTTTTTTTTACGGAATATTCTTCATGGAACATTATGTAATCATGTTCAGGGGAGGGAAGCGAACGAACGATGAGTTGAGGAGAAGTTTATGGAGGGGTGTATCAATTATTTAGTTGTCGGAACCGGGGACAGGGAAAGATCAAGAATTGGCTAAATGGTAAGGGGGTGCTTAACATATTATAATGTTCTTATGAACATGGTTTCGAGAACCCTATGGGGGGAGGGGGGCACGACCGTGCCCTTGATCGAAAGCCAAAAAGCAAACAAAGAAAAAAATACAAAAAAGAAAGGGAGAGAGAAAAAGGAGGAAGTATGGACAGAGAGAAGAGACAACATGAACAGCAAGAGACAATTTTTTTCTCCAAGAGTTCCAGTTTCCCATGGAATTATTCTATCATATTCCATCCAACTGAATTAGTAAGAGAGATGCCCGCTTCTTGACCGTACCTGGGCTACACCACTGCCGATCGACATGGTTCAAGTAACCAAGATCAGTGGCGGATCCAGGGGGCGGGGCGGGGGACCACGGCCCCCTCACCTGGGAAAAAACCGGTAAAAACACGTTAATGTTACCTTTATTTGGAGACGGGGCCCCCTCACCTGGTGCTCAAGGGGGGGGGGGGGGGGGTGCGATTCTTGAATTTTCGAGGAAAAACAAATTGTGCTCACTACCCCCCCCCCCCCCCCCCCCCCCCCCTGGACGAATTATCGGCCGGTTCGATTTGCAAATTTTCGCCTATTTCTCTTCTTTTCATCGGCTATTTAATCGCCTTTTTCTCTTCTGTTGCTTTCATACTGGCCGTTTCATCGGATGCGTCCGGATGCATCCGATGAAAATCAGGCCAGTTAGAAAAGGGTATTATGCACCGGCTGGCTGTTTCGCCGCTCAATATTTTCTCACGAATTGGGCCCCCTCTTTGGCCCCCTCCCCTGCCGCTGGCTGGATCCGCGCCTGACCAAGATAATCCGAATCGTAGAAATAACGAAGTACAAGCATCCCAAGTCACGATCTGCATCTCATTTTACATTGGATTATTTGCCAGGAGAGATTCCTTTGAGCTTTTAATCAATAATTTGGAAGACCCCTTTATCGATGGTCTAGCCTGTTTCTAGTCCTCCAAACAATTTATTTTCGACGTGGGAGCAAATGTAGCAGTTTTTAAAGCTAGGGCAGCATCGTCTGTGGAATGTTGCGATAATTTGAAAAAAGGAAACCGTCATAATTTTTTTATACAAAACATATTTTAATTTCAATTCAGTATTTCCTATGATAAATTCTATATGATTATCTAAATAAAAATGTGATAAAAAATATAAGCTCGGACTGGGAAAGAGATATTTTGTATCATGATTATCCACCCCTCTTTATTTCTTTTCTTTGTGATTTCAATCTTAATCTGTCGAATGAAATAAACTTCGATCTTTTCACAGCCTTTTGAAATGGACGTTTGCCCTTTATTTTCAACGAGATATTTCAATTACTCCCAGTTGGTATCTATGTCTTTGTGTTTTGTTGTCAAGAAAAGAGGTGGGGAGAAAAGGCAGACAATGGGAAAAGAAAAGGGTTAAAACGCAGAAAAGACAGGTAGAGAATTATCAGTCGCGGACACATGAACCCCCCCCCCCCCCCCCCCACACATTGCAATATGCTTCTCCCATCGCGCCTATCGATACATTTTTCTCTGCTTGCTTGCTTGTTTGCCCGAGATGGCAAAATATCCATAAATCTTAGCTGCTGCAATCCTTTCAAATAGTTGGCAAATCAGAGGAGGTAACAAAAAATACAATAACAACGTTGACCCCCCCCCCCTCCCGACAAATTGTAGAATACAAATGGCTAAACATTCGATTTTTCTAACACATAGGTTAGTTAGAAAATAAATCATAGGCGAAAATATAATACAGGTCTAGATGACAATGTTGTGTATCTCTCTCACCCCCTCCCCCACCCAACCACCCACACCGGTAACAACGCCCCAGGGGCTTGCTGACCAGACAATGTCGTCAAGGACGCTCTTCGCCAACAAAAAAACTTTTAGCGAATAGGCTCCTTTAGCTCCTTTGCTGTACTTTGTTTCGCTGGTTACAGAATAATAGTAGATACATCTTTAAGGGGTTTAAAGAGAGGTATGGGACAGAGAAATAATGATTTATTGATTACAAGTCATGAATCTATATCGACTGATATACATTCGATGGTCGTGTTGGTATCATTATATCCTAATCATTTTACACAATATCGAGAGTTCCCAGTTTCGTCGTAAATTGTCATTTGTAAAACAAGGACTTTTAATTACGCGATGTTGTAGGCTGTGATGAACCGAAGTACTAGATATCGAAAAAGAGGAATTTACTATTTTACTTAATTTTGGTTTCGGATTCCGACCAATGCCGTCTCTATTTTTTAGTCACGGGTTTCATTTTAATCACAGAATAAAAAGGTCCATGTACATCCACCGATACACATTCAATTACATTAAATCTAAGATCGTTATTTTGATCAAGTGACGATACGAGGCATAATAACAGAAGATAAATTGATTGCGCACGTATCTATTCCAGGGGATGCTCAAAGCAAGTACAAAGTAATATTCTTACCCTGGCTTTCACCCAGCTACCCTAAGGTTATAAAGCATTCAAGAAATAAATTACTATCAGGTATTCATTTACTATACCTGGGTGGAGTGTAGTTGATGGACTCAATGTCTTGCCAAAGGATATTTTGTGTCGTGGCGGGACTCGAACCGCGAACCATGTGATCCACAGTCCGATGAAGTATCCGCTAGACAATTTTCAGCACTTAAACGTAGTCGTTGTGGAAATATGTGAATGGTTTATTAATACGTCTTGGAATCAAACAGCTTTTTAAAAATACATTCCCTTTCTATAAACAATGATTCGTTTTTAAAGTAAGAAAAATTCATGATTTTTATTTTTATCAGAGTACTATCGACTAAGTTGATTTCTACTAAAAATAATAAGTATTCCATTTGGTACGAATAATCCTGCAATTAAAGGTACCTTTATAGTTTTACAGGAACTCTGTCAAACGAATTGAATAACATAGTCACCACTCATAATTTTGCTCCCCATAATTATGATTATTTCAATATATATTTTTGTTCTTCTCCAAATTAAATTAAGTACATCAAACTTTACATGTCACCAAATTACAGAATCCCGACAATTGTATCGTGATGAACATTAAGCAGGGGTCGGGGATGGTATCAGCACATTACTAAAAATACAATCATGGAAATGACACGAATGAGGACATCATAACCTCACCATGAAAAACTAAGCCTCGTTATTTACGAAAGTATACTCAAACTTTAATTTTCGAGATTTCGTTTTATGCTTCCCGTTTGCAAGTCCACTCTTTTAATTTGGAAACTCTCATTCAAGACAATAATGATAATAAGCAATAGTGGGATGTTATGTATAGCGCTCATGTCTGCCAAACTTAAGTGACACTCTTAGCGCTCCAATGTTAATCACTATAATAATAATTCGTCCTTGTTTTCACGAAGTGACGGTAGTGAGGAAAATCGTAACGCAAAGTGAATGCAATTTTTTTTCACTACCGTCACTTCGTGAAAACAGCGACGAATTATTGAATAAAAATGATGGAAAAATAAATATTCAACTGTGATGTGAAACTGTTCCTGAATTTGTTCTTTGTACAAACAAATTACTAATGCTTAAATCGTGAAAGTGTTTTCGTTTCGCTTGACATGATTCAGAATTAAAGGAAACGAGTTATAACATGGTCAGATATTATTGATTAAGTTTTTTCGATTTGCAAATCACATGGTATCCAGTCATTTTTATTTTCAACAAAAAGTGCTGATTTCTTTTTCTTTCAAACTATCATTGATTTGGGATGTCATTGCTTTCGCATGTCTTCAATTATAAAAATCACATTGTTCCTAATCAAATCTTCAACAAAAAAATACTGATGTGTATTTTTTTAACAATAGTAATCTGTTTTTAGATAGTGTCAAGTTACGTTTTCCCGCCTTTTTGTGTATGCCACTTTAACTTTTTTAAATGGAAACTCCCTCATTATCCTCATTGGAATAGTCGTAGCGGAGTGCTTTAAGCACTTGCCTTCAAATTCAAAGGTCGTGGTTCGATCCCCGACACGGCACTTATGTCCTTTGGCGAGGCTTTAATCTACATTTGCCACTCAATACCCGAGAGAGAAATGTGGATCTGGTAGGATGACGAAAGATTTTGTATTAGTAATTGCAATTCATACAGGTGCATGTATGGTAGGAATACTCACCAGGGAGTGGAGATGGTGCACATTGTGCATGAATGAATTCGATGACCGGGGTAATAATATCAGTAAAGCGCTTAGAGACGGTATTCGGTATTAAGCGCTATATAAATCCATATTAGTATATTATTATTATTAATAAAAACAACCAGTGCCATGTTGCCCGAGAGATCGAATCTATATGGGCATAGTGCCCCTTCCCTTAGACCAATCACCCCAAATTAACCCATTTCTACTAACATAGTTAGTGATTCTTTCACTATTAAAAAGGTAATACGGGACTTTCCTTACCGCTTTGGGTTTGTTGGCTTTATGAGAAAAGTGCAATGTCAAACATTAAACATCTAAAAGTACCCGTTAAACAAAAAGATATATTTTTAAACAAACAAAATGTTCCTTTTGAATAACCATAATGTGCCACTTTATCACCGAAATATTTTAATAAGATACTAAATATCAGCTCTTTCAAATGTACATGTACTGAGCGACTTTTAAACGTTGCCACCCTGCCCTTCAAACCTTCAAAATTCTAACACTATATTATTAGGCATTAAGGTCGTCTACCTGACAAGACGTTTATTCTTTTAAAAAATTAATTATTATGTACATCTGTCACCTAAATGACCTAATTATGAAG